ATGATGCAGAGACTGAGAGGGCCCGAGGTAGGATCTCCAGGCACTGGCTGGCGGCTGCCTCCATTTGCCCACTGGCCTCTTGGTTTGCAGGGGTGCTCCTGGACATCCAGAAGCATTTCCACCTCAGTGACTCGGAAGCTGGCTTATTGCAGACAGGTAAGGGGGGGGTGCCCAGCCTGGGGGGAGGGGCTGGGCTCACCTCCATCTCTGCTTCTGCCGCTCAGGTGCGGCCCCCCTCTCCCACTGCTGTCTTTGACTCCCTGCCCCTCTTGGTCCTTGCCAGCATCTCTGGCTCAGGCTTTGGGGATGCCATCACTCAGGCTGGGGGATGGCAGAGTGTGGGTGTCCTCCGGCTGGGCCCTCTCCCAAACTCTTCTGACCTAATGCTTCCTGCTGGGCAGGAAGTGGGCACTGGGGGTCTTCAGATGTCTGCAGGGCCATCTGGCCTACAGGTCGCCTCTGCCCAAGCTCAGGGTACGGCCAGTGGCCAGGGGCAGACTGGGGACCTTGGAGGGCCTGTTCTCCTTCAAGGCCATTTCTGGGTCTCATGCTGGGGAGTAGCGCTGCTCAGCCCAGTAGGCAGCAAGTGTCCTGCTTTATCAGGGGAGAGGAGCCAGTCAGCCCTCCCCATCTCTGCAGGCTTGGCCTCTGACCACACCGGCAGGCTGCAGTCAGATGGGAGATAAGGCTGGTTTGAGGTTGCTCAGTGTCTCCATTCTTCTCTGCCGCCTTTTCTCAGGCCAGGTGCCAGTACAGAGGGTGGGCACAAAGGGAGGGAGGCCCACGCTGAGGCCAGCCTCAGGACCAGAGCTGGAAGTAGGGGCAATGACCAGGAGCTTGGCCTCCTTTCCCTCAGGAAGGGTCTAAGCCCCTGCTGAGCCAGAACACAGGGGCCCATTCTCCCACCAAGCCCCTGAGGTCTGGCCTTGGGGATCACTCAGGCTGCCTTAGGCCTCTTCTTTCCTGAGCTCTGGGGGTTAATCCTAACCCTAAAGGTGTCCAATTCTGGACCCACAGTTAAGGAACTCAAAGGCATAGTGAGAATAGCCCTGATGGGGAAGGGAACCGAGGAGCCGAATGCAGATATTTGGAGGAGGGGGGAGGACCATGCAGGTGCCCCCAGGGCGGGAAGAGCAGCGAGGGACCAAGGCATGGTCTGGATGGATGTCATTCTCCAGGAACATGAGAGTTATTGCAACTGTAGGGCTCCCACGGGAAAGGGGCTGCCTCTTGAGGTTCTAGGTTCCCCAAGCCTGGAGGGCAGCAGCACTAGGCTGAAGGCCAGTATGGATTCCTGGGCTGATGGTCAGGGGCACTCACTGGAATGTTGGGAGCTGGCCCCAGGAGCAAGCCAGAGCTGTGTCCTTTCCAATTGGAGGCCAAATCTGAGGGAATGTGTAAATGGGGCAGTCAGGAAGATCGGAGTTCAAATTTCAACCGGAGACACTTAGCCAGCTGTGTGACCCTCCTGGGGCGACTCACTTACCCCCATTTGCCTCAGCTTCCTCATCTGCAAAATGGGCATAAGAACCGCCCCTCCCTCAGGGATGTTGTGAGGATCAAACGAGATCATATTTCTACAGCCCTTGGAAGCACTACGGAAAAGCTAGCTGTTATTACTAATTATTATCGTTGAAGGAAGGCGGGACCTTGTGCGTTTTATGGGGTGAAACGCATGCAGTGCTTTGTGGGAGATGGGGAGAGCCAGGCATCAGATATATTTGAACTAGGGCTTGAGCTCAGAAAGAATGGGTGGGGGGGCATGAAGCAGAGATGCAGAAGCCATCTCCGCGACCGAGCCCACCCCGTGTAAGCCTGGGGACCTGGGTCTGAGCTGTCTAACGGAACAGGCATGAGCTCCCAGGCTTGGGAAGTACTCCAACCCCGACCGGCTAGCAGAGAGCCGGACGCCAAACCGTCCGGATGCTCCAGTACCCTGTTGGCAGAGTGACCGCAGACCAGCTGCTTCCCTGAGGAGCGGGCCTCTCCCCCGCCCTCCCCGCCCCCAGGCCCCACCCCGCCCTGGGCTGGGTCAGCCAGGTGCTGCTCTGGCCCAAGGGGCACTGCCGATGCTCCCTAGGCATCCTGTCCTGTCCACTGTCCCAGGGATGGGGAATGGGGACCCCTGGAGCCGGCCCTCCTCAGAGGGAACCTCGGGCACATTTGCTTCCCTTCACGCCTGCAGTGTTCATCTCCGGCCTGCTGCTGGCCGCTCCCTTGTTTGGCTACCTCGGTGACCGCTACAGCCGGAAGGTCACTCTGAGCTTCGGGATCGTCCTCTGGTCCAGCGGGAGCCTCAGCGGTTCCTTCGTCCCCGGCCAGGTAGGTGCCTGCGGGCCCTGTAAAACCCAGACTACAGCAGCCATGGCTGATTTCTCCACCTCCTCCTGGGGGAGTTGGGAAAGACTTAGCCTAGCGCTAGGCCAGCTGGGGCCGTCCATTCCACCGCCTTGGCTCACACCTCTCTCTAGCCAGGCTCTTTTTTTCAACAGCCCTGGGCTTGGGGTTCTTCTTGTTTGTAACCTCTCTGGGCCCCAGGTCCTGAAAAACACAGATCTGGACGGTTTTCTCTGGAGAAGAACCCCTGGCAGAACTTTGGGCCCTATCTGCCTAGTCAGAGACCGTTAAGATCATGGCCTTCATTTTGCAGATGAGGAAACTGAGGCCCCCCCGCCCTGAGCCTTCCCTTCCTTCCCTGCCCCCTCTCAGAGCTCCAGAGTCCTTACACTGCCTTCTGACAGACCAAAGGGTTAAGTGTCCAGCCGGTTCCCTCTCCCAGGCCAGGCTCTGATCTGAGAAAAGACTGAGCTCTGAAAAGGGGAAATCCAGCCTTGGATGGAGACAAAGGCCCTCCCCATGACTCCGCTCCCCAGGGAGCATCCCGAGAAGGTCTCAGGGAGTCTGGGAGCTGCCAGGGCTGGGTGGGAAATCTGCCTTTCTGTCATTTTCAGTGACCTGAAGGATAGGAAATTCCTTTTGGAGAAGAATTATTTTAGGATCTGCTCAGAAGAAAATTGTCAGGCAGAGGTTGACTTTCCTTCGGAGATGCGCCCTGGCAGAGTACCCCCTCTGCACATTTGCTGGCCACCTTCCCTCCTTCCTTCCTTTCTTCTCCCTCTCTGCCTCCCCCCACCTCAGATCAATGGAGGAAATTGTAAAAGCACGTAGTAGACCCTATAGACCCTGCCTCCCCTCCCCCCTCTCTCTCCCCTTCCTCTTACCCCTCCCCTCTCTATTTTCTCCCCTCCCCTTCCCCAGTCTCTCCTTTCAGAAGCCCCCTTAACTCCTTCTCTTTTCTCTCTTCCAGGTCCTCAGTAGCTGACTTTATTTCTTGCTTTCTGGTTCTGATAACTTTTTTATTTTTTTTGCTAGGCAATTGGGGTTAAGTGACTTGCCCAGGGTCACACAGCCAGTAAGTGTCAAGTGTCTGGTCTGAGACTGAATTTGAACTCAGGTCCTCCTGACTTCGGGGCTGGTGCTCTATGCACTGCCCCACCGAGCTACCCCTTGGTCCTGATAACTTTTAACCAAGGTCAACCGATAATTGTGTCCCACCCCCATATTTGCATTGTAACAGAGGACTCTTTGAGACCCAAAAGAGTGAAGCTATGATGGTGGAATCCCAGGCAGTTTGTGGGGGATGGGTCTGGTGAGACAGGCCGGGAGACCTGAGTTCCACACTCACCTCAGTCACTAATATTCTGGGTGACCTCAGACAACTCACATACCCCTTCTGGGCCTCAGTTTGGATGTTTCATCCTTCCTCGGCTAAGAATCCTTGGCCCATCCTGCTGGGAGAGCTTCCTTCTCACTCTACCTTGGGCAAACCTCTGTGCTGATGGGCTGCTCTGTCCCCCCCAGGGCTGGGCTCCTTTCCCACTGGTTCTGACTCCTCAGGGGCTGGAAAGGCACCCATGGGAGCAGGGCAGGCTTTCTGCCTCCTTCTGTCTCCTTTCTCAGACATCTCTTCCGTCCTCCGTGACTCTGCCTCCTCCTCCTCCCCCTCTTCTGTAAGCCCGGAAATAACACATCCTGTGTTGGGCTGGGGGGACCCTGGAGGAAGGAAGGCCTGGGCCTGGGGGCTCCCTGGGTGACCTTGGCCATGTTCTTGCCCCTCTCTGGGCCCCTTGATGTGCCCCTGGTGCCAGAGAGCAGCAGGAAGAGAAGGAACCTAGGGAGAGAGCATGGTCCTGGGGGATGGGAGGGCCATTTGGTCATTGGCTGAGATGAGCAGAGGGTTCCTGGGTCAGAGCCAGACGAGGCCTTGGAGACCATCAAGTGCAGCCCCTCCTGTGACCAAGGGGGGGGGAAACTGAGGAGGCCCAGCCAGAGAAAGGGTCTTGTCCAAGGTAGCAAGTGTCCAAGCCAGGATTATAACCCAGGTTTCCATACTGGATGTCGGGGAAAGCTGCCGGTCAGTGAGAATTCCCACAGTGGAGTGGACTGCCTTGTGGGGGTGGTGAGCTCCCGTTCCCTGGAGGCCTTTAAGCAGAGGCAGGTGCAAGCTTGGCAGGAATGTTCTGAGGAGATCCTGCTTCAGGCTGGGCCTGTGTCTCTGAAGCAGGTCCCTGCCAGACCCAGGGCAGGTAGCTTGCTTTTCTAGAATGACTCCAAAGACCTTGCCCAGAGCAAGGCCTCCAGAGTGCCCCCACCCCGCTGGCTGCAGGGGACCCCTGAACAACAAGAGTTCACATTTTAAGGTTTGCAAAGCACTTTACAAGTATGAATCTTGGGAGGTAGATGTAGAGGGGAAACTGAGGCAGTCAGGTGAAGTGACTAGCCCAAAGTCACGGCGGCCAAACTTGGCTTCAAACCTTGGACCTGGGACTCGAGAGCCCTTTTTTCTTTGTTCTACTCTGCACTCCTTCAGGTGGGAGCTAAGTTGTCCTCCTTGGATTCCAGCTGCCAGGCTTGTCCCTGGAGCAGTTGATGAAAGATTACCCATGGTTCTCCTGGCAGAGTCGGCTGCCGTGGTCCTGCCCCCTCCCCAGGCCTGGCTGGCCTCTCCCTGCCCCACAACTGCCCAGGGGCGGTCCTTATCCTCCGGTGACCAAATCCCACCATGCCCCCCTCAAACCTTGCCCTCCCCCAAGCTCCATGCGGCAGCATCCTCTCTCTCCACCTCATCTCCTCCTCCTCTTTCCCCCCTTCCCCCTCCCTCCAGTGGTCTCTCTTCTTCCTTTTCTTCTCTCCCTCCTCTTTCTCTTCCCTCCAGTGTCCTCTCTTCCCTTTCCCCTGTTTTCTTCTCCTCTCCTCCTTTTCTTCCCTCCATGTTCCTCCTCCTCCTCCTTTTCCCTTCCTCTGAGTGCTGCTGCTAAAGGGAGGTGTCTAGTTAAACCCATCCTGGAGCAGCTTTACCAGTTCAGCCCCCCAGGCCTGAAGGAGCAGCTTCTTACCCCGCGGGAGGGGTGACACAGACTCGGAGCTACTTTGAGAGGGAGGGATCCTCCCATCCTCCTTTCAGTCACCTCTGCTATCCCCCTGCCCTCAGGCAATGGGGTGGGATTTACCCCAATGGGGCTAACAGGTGAAACCCAGGATGAGGCTCTGGGGACAAGGTGCTCTGAAGGACTTTCACAGGAATAGGGGCCAGCTTTGTCCTGCTTGACCCCAAGGCAGGATGGGGGGGAGTAGGGGACCTGCAAGCAAGCAGGTTTGGTCTGGAGGTCAGAAACCATCTGCCAGCAGGAGAACTCTCCCGCTGGGGGAGGGGGTTCCCTCCCTCCCCCCCAGTTAGGGGTGCTGAGGCTGCAGGAGCTCTCAGGAGAGCTGTTGTGAAGGGAAGCAGGCTGCCTGCCTGGGGTGAGTTCCCCATGCCTGCAGGCCTTTAGAAGGGACATCTGTCCAGGTCTGGGCTGGAGCAGAGCCCCAGAGCTCCCAGGATTCCGAACCCCTCCTTTTTAGGCTCTGGAGCTCCCCGCGTTTCAGGCCACTGTGAGGTCCAATCCGACTCGGGGAGCCCCGAGGGAAGGGCTGCTGGATGCGGTGAGCGATCACTCCACCGTGACAGGCGCAGGCTCTGAGCAGAGGCCCCATGTGGGGCCCCGGAGCCTCCTGCTTCAGGTGCTTTTCCTGTGCTTGTCTCCCCGAGGCAGTATTCCTGGCTCTTCCTCCTTTCGAGGGGAGTTGTGGGCGCTGGGGTGGCCAGTTATTCCACCATCGCCCCCACCATCATCGGGGACCTCTTTGTGAAGGACCAGAGGACCTGGATGCTGTCGGTATTCTACATCTTCATTCCAGTTGGAAGGTGGGTGGGGCTACCAGCCTGTTCCTCGGGGTGGGGGGATAGACTGAGGCCTAAGGCAGCCCCATTGCTTTGCCATTTGTCCAGAGGGTTCAACCAGCATTTGTCAGTCACCTAGCTCAGGCAAGGCCTTGTGGTGCAGTGGTTAGGGTGGGTGGGGATCTGAGTCAGGAAGGCTTCCATCTGACGCATGTCGGCCTCCCAGGCGGACTAGCCTGTCTTGGCCTCTCAGGTCCCCCGAGTCTTTCCAAGGCAACACGTGACAGAGAAGGCAGGAGTCTGCTTGGATGGAGGGTGGGTGGGGAACGTTCCCCTGCGCTAGTGAAGTCAGGGGTCTGGACCCGATAAAAAGTGTGAAGGGCTCCGAGCTCGGGGCCAGAGGGACAAGGGCAAAGAAGAGTTTTTCTCTGTGGGGCCTCTCCTTTCTTGGGGTGCACCTGAATGGAAATAAATGCGCACACGACAGCTGGAGGCAGGAGAGAGAATTAGCATCTAGGGGCATCAGGGAAGGCTTCCCGTGGGAGGTGGCATGGGGGCAGCGCCTAGAAGAAAACGGGATTCTCTGAAACTGATGGGGGAGAGCACTCCCGGCGGGGGAAGGGGGGGGCAGGGCATCGAACGCCCAATTGAAGACATGCTCCCTGCCCGTTTCTGTGAAGGCCGGCGGCGAAAGCCTGTTTGGGACTGACTCGGTGCCGTTCTGGGGTCTTGGCAGGAGGGAGTGTGGCCTTGCTCACAGGCGTCTAGCTCTCCTGCCACTTTTGGATTCTCATCCACGCTCACCTGAGGCTTCTCTCTTCGCAGTGGCCTGGGTTATGTCCTCGGGTCTGCGGTGACCAAAGCCACGGGGGACTGGCACTGGGCATTCAGGGTAAGGCTCGGCTCCCCGCCCTCACTTTCCCGTTCTTCCTTCACCGCTGATGCAGGGGGAGCGGGGACGGTTCCACCCACTTTATTTGGGCTTGGAAGAAAGCCAAGGGGAGAGGGAGGAAGAGGAGGAGGGGCCACCCGCCACCACCAGCGGCTGGATGTCAGGGAGCAGCGGCTCACTGGGTCGGGTGGCGGGGATTTAACTGAACCTCGAGCCCAAGTCCAAAGAGCAGCCAGTCTGGCACTGCACAAGCGCCCCGCAGCCCGGGCCTTTGGCGGCCCAGGAGGCGGGAAAGTAGAGAGGGGCCCCTCGGACCCGGGCTCTTGGCTCTCTCCAGATCATGCCCTGCTTGGAAGCCGTGGCTTTGGCACTGCTGGTCTTGCTGGTTCCAGACCCACCCCGGGGAGGCGTGGAAGAGCAGAGCGAAGCTGGCGGCCTCAGGACCAGCTGGTGTGAGGACGTCAGCTATCTGGGGAAAAAGTGAGTGCTGGCCAGGGTGTGCTGCCCTCCCCAGTCCATGCTCCGTCCTTGGCAGCCAGGGGAGCCGCCCGGGGCAGTGGGGAAGAAGTGGGGTCTAGGGGCAGCCAGGTGGCACAGTGGATAGAGCACCGGCCCTGGAGTCAGAGGACCTGAGTTCAAATCTGCCCTCAGACACTTGACACTTACTAGCTTTGTGACCCTGGACAAGTCACTTAACCCCAATTGTTTCACCAAAAAACAAAACAAACAAACAAACAAAAAAGAAGTCAGTTCTAGAATCAGGGCTCGGTGAGGTGCCTGACTGTTACTTACTTACTCTCTGGGTCTCAGTTTACTCATCTGTGAAATGGCGGGGTTGGACTCAGATTCCAAGGCACCCTCTAAGTTTGGGATGCTAGGAAAGGCTTCTTTAAGAGGAGCCCAACCCCTGAAGTTCCACCAGCTGTACCCCAAAGATTGCATCTTCATAGGGGAACACCAAGCAGCCAGGGCAGCCAGGGAGAGCTGCTGAGGCAGGCTGGAGGGGGCGGGGGGGGTAGTGTCTGCAGAAAGGAGAGGGTGGGCTCATCTGGACAAAGCCCCCCAACTGACTGCCCCAGGACCCTCCTGGCTCTGGAATCTCGAGGTCCAGGGTTTTTTTCAGAGGAGAAAGTGGTGTGCAGATTCAGAAACTCTAGCCACTGGGCTAGAGGGAAGGAAACAGTCACAAATGCTGAACAGCAGCATCTGGGCCTGGCCTAGGATAAGCAGGCCAGATGGGGCCCTGGAGCTGGGCAGGGAGACACATGCCCACCAGTGGGCGCTGTTGACCCGCTAGAGCTCCAAGCCACCACTTAGGGGTTGGGGGTAGGTCCGGATTTTCAGCCTTGAGTGTCAAGGGATAGGGGTCAGGGATGAGGTGGAGAACTCGCACCCAGAGCCCCAGCAGGCTACCTCCCCCTTCCGTCACAGCCCCAGCTCATCTGTGAAATGAAGGGAAGGAGCCCTTGGGGTTTCAGGAGCAAACCAGACAATGGCTGGAGTGCTTTGGCTAGGAGTGGGAGGGGCAGCTCTGTCCCCACTGCATCGCCAATCCAGGCCATGCTGCGTCCTGACTCTAAAGAAGCCACTGAACCTTGGGACCGCTAGGGGGCGCCGTAGTCCATAGAGCACCAGGCTGCAGTCAGCAGGACCTGAGTTCAAATTCGTCCTCAGACACTTACTAGCTGTGTGACCCTGGGCAAGTCACTTAACCCCGATTGCCTCCCCAAAAAAGATAAAATAAAGGAGCCACTGGAGGTCTCTGAGTAGGAGAGTGGCGGTCTGATCTGGGTCCATCCCAGCCCTCCCAGCCTGCTCTGGGAGATGAGGGGAGGGAGAACTGGCACCTGGAAGGAAAGAGGGCCCCACTCCCAGCCTCTCTCTGCCCCTGGGAGCACAGATGCCCTGCCAACGGCACAGATCGTGTCTCTGTCGTCAAGCGAAGGAAACAGGCAGAGGCAGGCTGCAGGGCTGCACGGTGAGTCAGTTTAAGGAGAGCACCCCAAGACTCCAGCCCCCTCCTCTTTCAGTCTCCTGCCTTCTCCTGGGCTGGGGGAAGGGCTCAGCTGGACCTTGAATGCTAGGGGCAAGTCGGCTTCCCTTCTTCAGCCTTCTACCTCATCTGTAAAATGGTATAGTAGTGCTGGTCAGTGCAGGGCTGCTGAGGCGCATCTGCCCACCTGTGCCGTTCTCAGGGCAGCCTCTGACCTCCCCCACTGTCTCTGCAGCTCGAGTTTTGTGTGGTCGACTCTGGGAGTCACAGCCATGGCCTTTGTGACAGGAGCCCTGGGCTTCTGGGCCCCGAAGTTCCTGTACCAGACCCGAGTACTTCATGGCCTGCAGCCTCCTTGCCCCCCGGAGCCGCGTGACTCCTCTGACAGGTGAGGGGCCAGGCCAGGGCTTCCAGAAGAGCCTGGGGTGGGGGCAGAGGCAGGAGGAGGCTGGGGTCTTGGCAGGGGGATTACCTCCCCAAAGGGTGTGCCTGGGAGTCTGCCCCTGGGTGTCCTTGCTACATGACTCTAAGTGAGGCTCTTAATTAATTTCTCTGACCCTTTGGGAGTCTTGAAATGCCAGGGGAATGCAGCAATTTAGCCTTGCCCCTTCTTACACATGAAGAAACTGAGGTTCCAGGGAGAGAAGGGAAGGGGCTTGTCGGAGTCTGGGGTCCATGTGGGGGAATTTTGCCCTGTGACTCACTGGGCATCTATCTGGGCACCCTCCTTCTCTCCCCTGAAACTGATTTTAAAGTATTCAAGCATGCGGAGCCGAGGTCTCTAGAGCCCCAGTTAGCCGGGCAAGTCGTGGAAAATCACAGAATCTGGTGAATTCTGGACAGACACATCCTGCCAAATGCTTGGACAGACGCTCGGGTCCCTCGGGCCTGACACAATGGGAGCTGCCTGGTGAGGGCATCAGGCAGACCCAGACTCAGCCCCAGAGAAACCTTCCTTAGGCCACCTGAGTGCATTGGGTGGGTGGCTGGGGCAATGCTCAAAATGAACTGAGTATGGGGGAAGGAGCTCCGAGTGTTCAGGCAGAGGCCCCATATGGGAATCTAGGCTCCACTCCTTTATTGCCTGCATGCCCTTGGGCAAATCCCTGCCCCCTCTGGGTGCTCAGTTTCTCCATCTGTAAATGGGGGTGGGGCTAAGGCCCTTCCGGCTCAAAATCCTGGATTCTCTGTAAAATGGGGGCAGCATGTGAGAAGTTCAATTGGGGCCAGGGGGAGCACGTGCCATGGGCAGACCTCTATCCAGGAATGGCAGCGCAGAGAGTGTCCTTGACAAAGGAGTCTCCACCAGGGAGGAGGCAGAGCCCGGGGCCAGCAGAGAGCCCTGGCTTCTGGTCTGGTCATTGAGATGCATTTCTTTAAAATCATGGCAAAGATAATTCAATCCAGCAAACATTAATCAGCAATTCAGCAATGTTCTTTGGGAGGCAGCATTGGAAAGAAATAGAGTCAGAGGCCCTGGGTTCAAATCCTCTCTGTGCCACCCACCTATGACGACCCTCTGCACCTCGCTTTCCTCATCTGAAAAATGAGGGGTTGGTCTAGTCAAGCTTTGAGGCCCCTTCCTGCTCTAAATGGAGGATCCCTTCATCCGGTCTGGAGCGGCCACATCCTCCCTGAGCTGCCCTGGGGACACGAACGGGCAAAAGGGCCCAGGCCTTACTCTAGGACTCACAACCTACTGGACACCCTGGTCCTCCACTGTTGCTGATTGCGGCCTCTTTATGAGGCCGGAGAAGGTTTCTGGCGGCTGCTCCAGCAAGCTCCAGACTCCGTGACTGTGGGCAGCCTCTGTGAGCCCTGTGACGGATGACCCTCTAGGGCTCAGTGACCACTGCTGCGGTCAGACTGGCCAGGGCCTTTGAGGGGCTGTACTTGAGCCCTGCTGCCACCTGTGGTATAGACGATCCAGAGTCCTGGCTCCCCTGCTCACGAACTGACCTTGAGCATTGAGTCCCGCTCTGGGTTGGCTCCCCCCACACGGACCCCACTCTGCATTGATTTCCCCTAACTCTGCTCTCAGCTGGTTCATATTATGCTGTTTAGTGGGCTGAGGTATCCGTAGAGACTTTGCACAATGCCTCAGGACCCCGGGACATACAACCTGGCCAGCAAGCCTCAGTTTACCTGCCCCATCTGCCTGTCCCCGCTTCCCACCTCCCACCCCCAGTAAGGTTAGCTTACTGGGCTCTTGTGACCCTGTGCTGGCTTCCAATGGCAGCTCCTTTCTGTTCCAACTGCTTCATTCACAGCAGCACTTGCTGCAATCAGGCTGAGAACCACCCCAAGCTTCCTAGATGTCAATCCGAGGCTCCACTTCCTCCCTCCTCCCCCTGGCATCCAGCCGCCCATCAGTCTTCTGCAGCCTCTGCCTTTCGCATCATTGCTCCAAGATGGTGCATGGGGACCACCAACCTTATCCGGCAGGGCCTTTGCTTGCTCTAGAGCTCTGAAAACATTTCTTCTTTTTATCCAGCATTTAGAGAGCACTTCACAGTTTGCAGAAAATTTTACAATGATAATCTTATTGGATTCTCCCAATAACCTTGTATGTAGGTGCTATTATGATCCCCATTTTGCAGAGGAGAAAACTGGTGCAGCCAGAGATGAAGTGACTCATCCAGGGTCACACAGCCAGGAAGTGTCACTTGTAGAGGAAGCTTGGCTCTCCCTGCTCGGCCCAGGCTGGAAGCTCAGCGGTCACTCCCAGGACCGCCCCCCCTCACTGACTGGCCTAGCTTTGAGCATCTTTCTTCCTGACCTGCTACGCTTTGCCCCACTGGTGGCCCCCTGCTCTTGGGGGCTCACGATGTTGTTGCCAGGCTTGCTGCTGGTACCTCGGGCGTCAGCCTGATCTGCTTCTTGCGGCTCAGATCTCTGCAGTTCACTGACCCACCAGGTTCTGCCTTCCTGGGAGCAGGGACCACAGGGGCAGGGGGGCCACTCTCCTGGCTGGCAGCATTTCCTGCCCCATCTCTACATCACCTATTTCTTCTTTCCATGGCATTTGCTGCCATTGAGCTGGCATGGCCTTGGGTCATAAAATAAATGAAGGCATGGGGTCACTTTAAAGAAATAATTACGGCTTTTTATGAAATTTACTTTCTTCTCTTGGCACAAAACAAAACCCAAACCCCAGTCACTGCAATGGGATCCCAAAGAAGCCACCCTTCCTTCCTTCCTTCTTTCTTTTTCTTTCTTTCTTTCTTTTTTAAAATTAATTTATTTTGAATTATCAACAATCACTTCCATAAGCTTTTGAAAGTAAAGTTTTTCTCCCCCTCCCTCCCTAAGACAGTGCACAATCAGATATAGGCTCTACATATACATTCCTATTAAACATATTTTCACATTAGTCAGATTGTAAGTAAGAATTAGAACCAATAGGAGGAACCACCAGAAAGAGGAAACAAAACACAACAGAAGAAAGAAAATAGCAAATAGTATGCTTCGATCTGCATTCAAACTCTATAGTTCTTTCTTCTTTGTGGATAGCATTTTCCATCATGAGACCTTTGGAGATGTCTTAGATCCTTGCATTGCTGAGAAGGTCTAAGTCTGTCAACGTTAGTCATGGCATAACGTGGCTATTACTGTGGACAACGTTCTCCTGGTTCTGCTCACTTCACTCTGCATCAGACCATACAAGTCTTTCCAGGTTTATCTGAAGTCTGCCTGCTCATCATTTCCTACAGCACAGTAGTATTCCATCACATTCACATACCACAACTTGCTCAGCCATTCCCCAGTTGATGGGCATCCTCTCAACGCCCAGTTCTTTGCCACCACAGAGAGAGCTGCTGTAAATATTTGTGTACACGTGGGGCCTTTTCCCACACCCTTCCTTCTTTCTGTGAGACAAGCAAGCAGACAGCAGTTTTCTGTGCCTCCTTCCTCCATGTCTGTCCTTGTACTTGTGTGTGGGGCCATTAAAACGATGAATGATGGAGCCTCTTTGGGAGGCTCTAGTGTAAACTGGGAAATGTGGAGAGGCAAAGCTCCGGGCCCTCTCCCCTTTCTCTCCGGCTCTCCTCCCGGCTTTTGGGTGGAGTCAGTGAGCAGGCGGGCTGCTCTCTGTGGACTGCCACCGTGATCCAGCCTCTCTGCCCAAGCAGCCGGTCTTCTCTGGCCTCTTCTTGTCTCTGACAGACAGAAAGTAAAAACCACGGCTCATTTCCGAAGCTTTCATCTTTCTACTGCTACACTTGCAGGGCTCTGGCTCTCTCTTTTATGGGGATGTATCCCTCCTACAGCTGTTTTCAGTCGTGTCCGACTCTTCATGACCCCATCTGGGGTTTTCTCGGCAAAGATACTGGGGTGGTTTAACCATGTCCTTCTTCAGCCCATTTTACAGATGAGAAAACTGAGGATCACGCAGCTAGGAAGTGTCTGAGGCCAGATTGGAACTCAGGAAGATGAGTCTTCCAGACTCCAGGTCTGGCACTCTGTGCACTATGGCGCCCCCTAGCGGCCTCCTCTCCATATTCTTGGTTCCCAGATCTACTCAGCCAGCCCTAGCCTCTGCCAATTTCCAGTCTTGAATCTCCGACTGCCTTTCAGACATCTCAAACTGGATGTCCAGTAGACGTCTTAAACTCAGCATGTCCAGAATTGAACTCATTACCTTCCCCACCCCATCCTTCCCTTCTTCCAAATTTCCCTATTACTTTCAAGGGCCCCATCCTCCTCCCTGTTCCCCAGGCTCCCAACCTAGGTGCCATCTCATCCCCAGATCCAATCTGTGGCCAAGGCCTGTCTAGTGTACCTTGGAAATGTCTCTCCCCCACACCCCCTTCTCTCCTCTGACCCTGCCTCTGCCCTGGGGCAGACCATCCTCACCTCACACCTGGACCACAGCAGTAGCTGTTGGGGGAGGGGAATCTGCCTGCCTCAGGTCCCTGCCCCCTCCACTCAGCCACTCTTCCTAAAGCTGATCATGTGAGCCCCCTACTCAGTACACTCCAGGGGCTCCCTCTCACCTCCAGGATCAAATACAAGATCCTCTGCTTGGCATTCACAGACACCTGGCCCCCTCCTCCCTTGCCAGTCTTCTTACACCTGTCTTGCCACTGGACTCCAACGACTCTGTAGGAGAGAGTGAGACTGGTGCCTGGCACAGCTCTGCCTCACTTAAATCCAATTCACTCGCAAGTCAAGACATCACCCTCCTGATGTCATTGGTCCCCTTCAAGCCCCAAGGACAAACCGCAAACAATCCTTCCTTCTGCTTTCTGTCCATGTCTCTTGGGCAGCCAAGTTCATCAGAGATCTGCCGCAGTGACCACTCCTTTGGGGGCCTCCTTCTGGTCCCCTGGTCACAGTCTCCTTCCCTCCAGACCTCAGCGTCTGCAGGGAAGTGACAGTCATCCC